GCTGAAGTAAGACGCCGCGAGAGAAAGACACAGGCAAACACGTCGCCTAACGCCAGCGCCAGGGTGCCAGATAGCCGAGCAAACATCACGCCTAATTCCACCACGAGTGATAAAAGTTCAGCAAGTCAAGACTCGCGCGCTGGCCATCAAGTAATTAGCGCACAGGCATGCAACTATCCTCGTATATTAGCATAGCGACAGCATTCGACCCGTTGTGACCCGTTGCATAAGTCAAAGGACGTAACTGAAATTCATTTGGGTAATCACAGCTAGTTAGTTCGGAAAAAAGCTATTTCCCGAATTTTCATACTCAACACAGCGCTGATAACACATTTACTGCATTCCCTATTCGGTATAATTCGGTGCATATAAGGTAGATATGGATCCTATTTCCCCATCCTCAAAACCCCTAGAAATACCGCTTCCGCAGAACAAAATGCTGGGACTAGGAGTATATGAGGTGCACTACTTAAACTACTTTTGCCATTTATTTTCTCCTTCAATCGCCTGTTACGGGAGGAATTTGGCCCATAACTCAGGGGATTTTTCGTTTCTGCCAATTCGACAAAATTGGCCAAATTTAAAGCATATTCTATTCCTCTGATGAATTTGAAGAACACGGTCTTATCTCCATGCGTATTGCCTAGAGGAAAAATGTAAGACCGTTCGAGCCACCCTACACAAGGCAGGCATTCCAATCCTCTAGCCATTTTGATCGCTCTTCGTTTATTTTTCTTCAATAGAGTGTAAATTCCTTTTAGCTAGGATCGAGAAACCGGTCGGGCAAAGCTTCCAGGTAATCGATCAACGTCAGTTCTTTAAATGTTTTCCTGCTATTGTGTTTTGCCTTTAAACACGTAAATTTTCGTTCTGTAATCGATGACACGGAGTTCTGATTTTCTTTAAATCACAAAGGTAGGTGGGAAAGGTTGTATTGTGAGCTGACATAAACCAATCATAACACGGCAAACAGCTCAGAGTTTGCTGTGATAACGTCAAAGATGTTGCGTTTAGCTACTGCTTCTACACCATTTCTGCTCTATGTTTCCAGAAACATGATGCCTTTGCGCAGACGCACTGGTCCTTGCTGCCACTAGTCAATGCCGGTGATCCCACAATGGCCGAGTCCGAAGATGACTACTCCTCGGATCTCCACCTGGAGGATCTTTTTGAATAAAAAAACATCCCATTTGTGATAAACCGATAAAAGCGCCCTGTAAAGACCACCCTTTTGTGTTCTGTGAAGTTTTACTATAATTCCGCTAAAGTGACAACTTAAGCACTTCATTCCTTTTTTGTTTCTTTTCTTTCAGACTGACAAAGTTTTGGGTTGGACGCATACATCTGCCTAAGTAGTTGTGCTTTGTTTTCCGTGAATAATTTCATACTACTAGAAAATTCTACCTTTACTCTATGTACGCTATGCCTTTATTGAGCCAACTAGTTCCACGGAATAAGCTTTAGTTTAATACAAAGGACACCTCGTATCGCTTTATAAAGTCTGCGTCAGCAGTAGTCAACTTCAGAGGGGCGGGGCTGAAAAGGATCGACAGAGACAAAAAAGACTGGAAGGATCATTCTTTGCTTATTAGTCGTCATCAGCCGGCCGTATTCCACTTCAGAACGAACCGCCCTGGAGACTCGGACCCGTGACCTTACGCTCTGACCACTGAGCCACGGGCTCGTTGCCTTGCCGATTTAAATCGGGAATGTAGGCAACGGTAGATAGGCGCTCTCCGATCAGTTACGGAAAGCAGTTGTCCCTTCATGCCCCGAAGCGCGCTCTCGAGCACCACCACCAGCAGCCGGTAGCCTATTATAGCATAGTCGGAAACGCATTACCGACAAACGCAAGAGAGACTAGGATGGTCTTTTCTGAGTTATCAGATGTCATTAGCCGTTTATCCACTGTTGGCCAAGCTCAATTGCAAGCTCCAAGGCACAATAGGACAAGTGACTTCTATGACCGATCGGTGAGCAACTTATCTGTATTTTCGTTTAGCGCATTATGGAAAACTCGAGTATTAAACTGAAGGTTTCTCGAACTTCCAGAAAAAAAGAGAAATGATGGTTAGAGGGCCATCTACTTCAACTTAACTGAGGTTCAACTTACCGTTCTGGGGTTAGATTAATATAGTCCACGGCGTTAAGCGCGCCACATACCTTCAATCTGCATGCGGAGAAACTTACTCCCAACGGCCGCGGAAAACAAATTCAACTACACTTTTCCGGTTGACACTTACCTCTACAAAAATCTTTTGCTGTTTATCCTATTTCTCCCATCCTCAACACCCCCATAACTACCGTTTCCATAGGACAAAATGCTGGGACGAAGGATATATGAGGTGCACTACTTAAACTACTTTTACCGAGGCTATTTTGCAATTATGCAAAATCGTGATTTATTTAGGAGGAAAATGAAAATTATTCTGTATTTTTCATCTTTATGTGAACCTATTCTGTCAAGGGAGTTACTTTGTCCATGGTGATCCTACTCGGCCTCTAGCAATTGTGGGAAAGAAACAAGCCGCATCCTAATACTTAGAATATTCTGAGATCGCAAAAATAAATTAAAATAACACGTCTAGTTTTTTTTATTTTTCTGTGACTTTATGTGACGCGTCTTTTAGCGTGATGCTACAACCATAAAGGTAGAATGTCATTCCGCCAGCATACAGGTGTCCTAAGTAAACTCTCGTTGGACCACTACATTTATGTGGGAAAGGGGTACAAATCAGAAATATGAGAACAATACTGACCGTCTTTTCCTTTATGTGGGTTATGCGAATAGATGGAGAAAGGTGAACAGTAGTGAGAAAGGATGTGGAGGAGTCCATTAAGTTGGGCGACCATTGGTCATGCTAAGCGCGGAAATTACAGGAGATTGTTTCGTGGACGAAGGACCGGCATAATCACCTTTTTTGCTAATGAACGCTGATACACTGACTTGGGGTGTTTCCTCGGAACCTTATAAATCACACGGAAACCTTCGTGTCCCAATACCATGCGGGGGGTGCTAACTTTATCCTTTGGATAGCTGCTAACGCACATGGGGCAACATGAAGTAGGTCTGATTTCGCAACTCACCTTTACCCTCTCCGCGGAACGCAGATTTGGCTGAGAATACTAACCTAACGCTCGTTTATGAACAGATTCGTGACACGGCTTGGTCGAAGCGTCTTATCAAGAGCTCATTTGCCATATTTCCTTAAAAGGGAACTTTAAGCAATAGAGTTTCCTGTTCTTTAGTAAGTGTGGTGAATATTATTGGCCTGACAAACATGTTCTTTGTAATGCATCAAGCAGGATACTCGTTTTCACGAAGCAGGTTCCGTATATTTTTAAACTTCAGCTCGATGCTGTCTGTCAGAGAAACGTATGTGTACACTAACTTAACTTATCTTAAGGAACGCAGTTGAAAATATATGTGCCCAATGTGTTTTTGGTGGCCATTGTTAACAATTCTGACTCCATAAAAGAACAAATAGGCGGCTATGCAATCGTAGTTCTTGAGATTACTATTATGTAGAAAGTATTCCCCGTCTATCCACAGCGAAAATACTAACTAACGTGTCAATTTCAGCTTCATAACTCATCCTAATTTATGCAGTTTTGTCACTCATTAATGGGCCTACGGTCTTCAAAGCAGGCCAAACCGTTACCTAGGTCAGAGTGTTTAGTCGATAACTTTGAGTTCAACTGAGGGCTAATTGTTTCGGCTACTCCATGCTACCATTCTCAAGCAAGCAAGTGTTGTAGGTTCCATCGAATAGAATTTGGTTACGAAATTGAGCAGCATTTAGCATGCACAACGTGGAGATAAACTTTTGTTGT